CTGGGGGCACACTGGGATATATCCAGGCCCGTGAAGGTGAAGCACCAAACCAGCTAAGGGACTATTCATTCATTCAACAGGTATTTATTGAGCATCAGCTCTGTGCCAGATGCTGTGCCAGGGCTGGGGTTTCAGCAATGAACCACAGGTGTAGTCCAGGTGTGGTCCTGTCCCAGTGCAGCTTTCATTGTAGTGGCAGGAGATGCTCAACAAACAGGAAACAAGCTCTGAATACTAACTTTGGATCAGGATAGACAGGGCAATGGATACTATCATGAGGAATAACATTTCAGATGGATGGAACAGTAAGTAAAAGGCCCAGAGGCAAGAACAAGCTTAAGCATTTGAAGAACAGAAAGTCTGTGAGGCTACGTGTGATGAACCTAAGCTGGGGCTGCAGCACGGCCTCAGCTTTTATCGTCAGAGAGAAGGAGGGCATTGGGAGTTTTGAGCAGGAGAGAAACACAATTTGCCTGAGATTTTAGAAAGATCTTTCTGGCTCCTGTGTGGAGAGCTGTCCAGAAGGGGAAAAGAACCATCCAGAGACCACAATTCTGATGAGGTGATGGGCCCTGGCCTGGGCTGGCCATCATGGAGGGGAGTCTGGGAGGCACGTGTACACCATGTGCACCTCACACACAGAGCCCTTTTCCACCCAGAGAGAGACCACAATTTGGATCTTGACTGAGCTCTTGTCAGCAGTGGGACCCTGGGACATGTCAATGAAAAGCCTCACACCCACCCATTTCACTCTGAGTACCGCCCTCTCTCACCAGGGTCTGCCATGACCTCCTAGCCTGTTTTCCACTCCTTCTCCACACCCCAGCCACAGTAATTCTTTCAGAACAGGTATGGTTGTGACACATCCCTGTGTGAAACCCTTCAATGGTTCCCATAACCCTCAGCAACAAGTCTAAATGTGTGTCAGCCAAGGGATTGTAGTCTAACACACAGACTGAACAATACTTCAGAGATCAGATACAGTACAATTTGGGTTTTACCTTCATGGTAGTCTAGAGCATGCGGCTTTTACCAGGGGATCAGATCATCTGTCCCACGCCTCCGTCTCTCCCCTTTTGTGTCTATCCAGCAGAGAGGAAGGACAGGTGGAGCAAGGCACCACCTTTTGAAAGCTTCGGTCCACTTCTGCTTGCAATTGACTGCTGCGGAGACCAGGAAACAGCCTGTCCAGGGAGGACAGGAGAGGATTTCTGGTAAATTACTGTGTCTGCAATAGTGTGTCTTCTGGTCACCAAAGGGCGGTTTCCTCCTCTCTCCACTCACACCCTCTCCCAAAGGGTCACCTCCACCCCTGCTCCCCACTTCTGCTCCAGGGCTCCTATCTCTTGAAGACACATTTTTCCACCAGTATCATCCTGGATCTAGAAGTAAAACCCAAGTTACTGCCTGTTCTAATCCTGAATGAAACATGGGACCTGGGACAAGATGAATACAGGCAAAGCTCATGAACTGGGCCAGCAACAGCGGGGCTCCACAGGGTGGCTTTGTGAGGACCCCACCATGGGTCAGCCACCTCTGTGCTATGGGCCAACCACCTCTCCCATCTTTCTCCATGGCCACATCTGAGTAGGATCTGAACACTTTTTCCAGTTCCTTTCCTGCCCACATAGGTATAGCTTCATGAACCAGGCCTCAGAGCTCATGGTTTCTTTGGTAACACATACAATTGTCTCTCAAATCTAGGTTTCCTTCTGGTAAGTTTCATGTGACTGCACCCATGGTTCTTTTCTAACATGGCTTTCAAGTGGCTTCATTTTTTTTTTTCTTCATTGTCCCCTCATCTGGCTCTATCTCAGTTTACTAACATTTACCTCCACAGCATCTCAGAGAGCTAGCTAATGGACCAAGTCAACAGCTTCATCTGATCTTCCCTGTGGGGCTGAGGCTTTTGTAGAACTGAGACCATTTTAATGGTCCTTGTTGCTTAGAGCATTTTTCACTTTCATTTCCTGTTACTTGGGGTCCTGGAGCAGTTACCTTTTCCAACACTACAAGGCCCCAAATACTTTCATTCCCCTTTCTTTTGTTTGCAAACTGCATCTTGCTGGCATAGATCTCTTTCTTACACCTTGCTATAAAATTTATTTTGTTTGAAATGAAAGGAAAAACCTACACCATTGATACCCAGATCATTCTAACTACTTCCCTCCAGAGTCACAGGCGTATAGGTCCCTGGTCTGCCCTTCAGGCAACTGCAGGTTAGGATTTTAACAAACATTTTGCCCCTGAGTAACAAGTCTCCAACTTTCCACCCTGCAATATCTATGTCCTTGTTTTCTATTGCCTGATCTCCAAGTTGATGCTACATATTCAGCACCATACTTCAAGGTATTAGTACAGTATATGCTATAACAAACAGATCTCAAAATGTAAAATGCTTAAAATGCTATGGACATGTATTCCTCACTCACTAAAAAACCAAAAGGAGAGTTTGTTATTGACAAGTGGTTTTTCTTTGTGCAGCAACTCATGGAGCCATGTTCTTTACAGCTGGGAGAGTCACCATCCCTGAAGCCTGGTCATTGACAGCACCCCGCCATGGATAGACACAGAACCTGGGAAGAGCTCATTTCCATGCACATTCCATCAGCTAGAACTCAGACCCAGGAGCTCACCTGCTACAAGGGAGGCTGCTACATGCAGCTGTGTGTTCATCATGGAAACAGACGGAGCTGTAGCAGCTTCTATCAAATCTCAAGGCTCTCCATCATCAGGACCCACCCTCCTCTTCAGGCTCATTTCCTGACTCCCTCACGCACCTTTGAGACATGCTATAAACGAATATGCTGCTAGGCCATTGCTCATGATGTTTAGACTACCCAGAGCTCTCTTTTCCCTTGCCGTTCCATCTATTCATCCTTCCATTCATCCATCCATTTGTCCATCCACTCATCCATCCATCCACCCATCCAACAATTACTGTTGAGCATTAACTACATGCCAGGCACTGATCTAGACGCTGGGAATATTGAAATGGAGAAAACAGAAAACAAGAAAACTCCTGTGCTCATGGAGCTTATGTTCTAGCAGGGAAATTTAGACAACAATAACAAACAAGATAAACCACTTATATAGTGTAAGAAGAAAGCAATGATTGGAAAAAATAGAGCAGGATAAGGGAATTGGGGAGGGGGTATGACCTGAGAAAGGAAGCCCGACTGAATACGTGAAGGAGGGACACCTGAGGATGTCCGAGGCTAGAGCATTCTGTGCATATGGAACAGCGCATGCAAAGGCCCTGGGGTGGGAGTGGCTTTGTGGGTGTGAGAAAGGGCAGGGAGCTGTGTGGCTACAGAGTGGTGGAGATGAGGTCAGAGATCATGGAGATCAGGTTGTGTGAGGCTTGTGTACTGGTCCCTTCACAAAGCACTCACCTTTTGGACACCCCTTCCTCCAGACAGCATTTCCAGGCCCTCCATGCTGCAGCAGGCCCCTGCTCATGGGTACTGGCGGCCTTGTCACAGAATTTTCTTACTGCGAGTGTGCCTTCTCCAAATATGAATTCCTGTCAGCTGTGGTTGTCCTGTGTCCTCACTGAACACACAGGAGTGCCCAACATGGGGACAGAATTGGCTTTCTGAACCAGTGTCTCCACCTGTAGAAGGAGGAGGGCTCTGCCCTGGCAGCGTGTTGGAAGACCTGAACAAGTGGCCTGGTTTTATGGCCTCATCTGTGCCCTTAGTTGGCCTGTTCATCTTAAGACAGCAGATTACTCCCCAACTCTTTCTAGATTCCCGAATGACTGTGGAGGGCTTATTCTTCCCTATCTCAGCATCTTTCCACATTTAATGTATGACTTCATCCCTGAGTAGCCTCCTGGATCTAAACCACCTTCAGAAGGAAGCTCTAAGGGGGGACCTCCTCTGACCTGTCCTCCACCCTCTCTGCGATGGAGATTGCCAGATCTCACTCCACAGGATGGCCCGATGGTCTCCCTGATGGCCTGCAAGTGTTCCTTGACCCAACCATAACTCACAACGTGCCAGCCCACAGCATCCTGGTATTGATGGAGATGACATGCCACCAAGTGTGATTTGCAGCCTCACAGCATCCTGAAGTGGCTGGGCGATGTGGTCTGTTATCTCCACCTCTGACATGCTGTCTCAGCCTTCCAGGGAGATGGGTTAGGATGATGTCAGGTGCCCTGCCCCTAGCAGGCAATGAAATTCCTTATTTTATCCCAACTAGTTATTGGTTGGTATCTAGATTCTCTCCTCCCCATCACAGAGGGCCTAGGTGCCTGTGAGCTGTACTTCCCAGTGTGCTGTCCATTTCTGCTGATGGGAGGCCCTGGCAGGAGACCAGGAGGCAGTAAAGAACTGTCTGAACTTGGTAGGTTTTAGTGGTGGCAGCAACAGTGACCAGTGTGCATGCATTCCTGGGTTTTGTCCAGGCAGCGAGGTACCAACAGTAGCCCATGGACCGTGGCTTTGGGTATCACTTCTCTTCCTCCAGCTCAGCATAATAGCAGTTGCACACACCCACTAATATCTGAGTCACCTCACCTTCTCACCTTTGGTCCTCTCCTCCTTGCAAGTCTTTGTGACCAGTCCCTCTACACTAAATCCTATTAGAAGCACCTGAGGTCATTTCTGCTTCCTTACTCTACACAGACTATTCTTGGTAGCAGGAATGGCATCTGAGGAACCACCTTTTATGCTTGGAAAGCTGGGGTTGGTTATCTGACTCAGTGGGTCCCAGTAATGACCTTACTTACCACCCAGGGCAAATGGAGCCCTAGAAGTTCATAGCACTCAGTGGCAAAATGACTGCTTAATATCGCACCCTATTTTAAGAGCATAGGGTGAGGTGCCTCTTGAAGGCAGAACTGGGAGACTGATTGGCTGCCACCCAAGTGACTGTGGTGGGGACAATAAAGCTGCAAAGTTCTGGTGTGGGTTGGCTGCTGGGACCACATAATCAGCAGAAAGAAAAGTGTAAACTCAGCTCAAGGTTCAGGCACAAAACTAAAGAACATCTTTGACAGCCAGAAAACAATCTGTTTAATATCCTATTGCCATAAGGAGGATACAACTCAAAACACAACCCTGCATTTGATCCTGCAGGCTGCAGTTACAAGTCGAATTCACAGTCTTGCTGGCCCTCTCATATAAAATTTAGGGTGTTGCTTTGGAAGAAGTGGGACCCTGAGAACAGTAGAGGGAACATTTGGGTGGCCTTCACATCTGAGACTCCTGAACTAAGGGACAACTGTATGGTTGCACACTCCATCAATATTCTTGTCACAACCCAGATCTATGTGCAATGTCATCTTTTCAATAGCCAGGCATCCTTAATTAGCCTTGCACTTTGTAGCTCAAGACAGAACCCACCTCAGCCTTCCAAATGCCCAGGGAAACTCCGAGAAATGTTATGTGTGTTGCCCTCCAAGGCCATCTGTCACCTAAGTGGACATAAGGTTTCATGGCATACAAGGGCACATCACTTTACAAAGGTGGCATATATCCTGTCCCCAATCTCCCAACAACATGGGCAACAACCTAATGCTCACCCCACCGAGCTGTTTCCTCATCCACGAGATGGGCGTGATGACTGGTATCTCACAGGGCTGCTGGGAGACTCCAGTGAGAGCAGATTGGGGGAGCCCATGGCACTTGCGGGTCACTCCTCTTCTTCAAATGGCTGGGGGTGGCACTGTGACCCCTGGGGTGGGAATTAGGGGAAAAACATGCCACTTAGGAAAAAATCCCTGCCTCCTTGGGCGAGGGAGCAGAGGGACAAGACAGGGCCCTGGACCAGGTACAAGACTCTCTCAACCCTGTTCTAAGGCCATTGTGACTTGACTCGACAAGCTTGCACGGGTACCCAACCTCTCTCTGCTGGACCAGAAGCCCCAAGAGGAGGCTTTCTAGGCAGAGAGAAACATGTCTAACAGTTGAGGCTGTGTGAAGCAACATGACAGTCTCTTCCAGGTAACTGGCTCCCAGCTGCTCTGCAGGTTAAGTGTTACCAGGGCCTCTGAGGGGCCTTCCCCTCTGGAGTAGGCAGCTGTTGACAAAGGACACAGAAAGCATGGTGCCAGAACCCCTGCTGATGCCACTGCCATCTTTCTGTGAGGCCTCAGCCAAACCCCTGTGCTTGTCAGAGCCTTACTCTCCGTTTGAGAACGAGGACCATGCTGTTAATCACATAGGAACAGATGCAGGACTAGGGCACTGACCTCCTGCCTAGCCTGCCCTCACACCCTGTGAGCCCCCAAAGCTGGCTGTGCTTCAGTCTGTTCATTGTAAAAGTGGCCAGGATTCAGATTGCCAGCAAGATAGGGCATAGCAGCCCCTGGCCACAGAGCACCTGCTGGGCCTCCTCTAGAGGCTGCCCTAAAGCCACATACTAGGCCAGCTTTTATTGAAATGTACTTCAGGCAGTCTGTTCAGGAGTTTGACAAATACCAAAGGGAGGTCTGGAGCCTTGACCCAGACATCCCCTAGAATGGGTCCTGAGTAGGAAAGGCACATGAGTTACTACCTGTGGAGATGAGGCAAGTAAGAGAAACTCACAAAGCGAGGTGACAGGAGAGCAACCTGCTGAAAGGGGGTGGAGAGGTTCTCTCCTCCAGATCAAGGGCTCCCAGGGCAACAGTACAGGGGCAACAGAGGCTGGGATGTCAGATATCTGGGGCAGCACCAGAAGCTGGCCAGCCATGGCACAACTGGCTGTTGGCCGAGGGCTCCAGGCCAGGGTCTGCTGCACCCCCAGCCTGCCAGAGGCGTCATGCTGCTGCTGCTGCCTCGAGGCTCTGCTGGAGCCCAAGGGCTGGGAACAGCATTAGACCCCTGAGCGGCAGCAGCACTGTAAGGCAGCATGGAGGCCAAGTCATACGTGAAGGAGCTGGGGACACACTGTTCCTGGGCCAAAGGCTACATGGCCTTCCTCCCCGCCCCCTGGACCCTGAGCAGCTCTTGGTTTAAGTTTTGTTTGCAGGTTGGCCTGGGCATGGTGAGCTGCCTGCTGTTAGAACACAGGTTTGGGTTGGGACACAATGGGGACAGGAACAAGTCCCTCTGGTGCCACCTACCCCTTAGTGCCCTACTTGCCCTGGGATCCTATGTAGAGGGCACCCCCCTGTAACGGGGTCACTATGTCCCACAGGCTGTGAGGGAGATGGCACCAGCTCACTGAGCCACTGGAGTTTTCAGTACAGAATCTGTGCTTACACTTGGTGAGAGATGAATGGGGAAGATGGTCCTAGGAAGGGAGGGACCTAGACTTTGGGCTGGCCTGTCTACTCTGAGGCCTACAGCCCACCCTTTTCTTGAATGTGCTATGAATAGACAGCCCCAGCCTTGGAAGGGATCCAGGAGCTGAGCCCACCTCTTGCCAGCAGTTTCTGGGTTAATCCCCAGCACAGTGGGGGCCCAAAGACTACCCTCACCCTCCCAGTAGCATGTTGCAGACAGCTGGGGAATACAGTGGGAAGGGGATGCTGTCTTAAAGCTCTTTCCCAAGAGCTCTTTCCTGGAGGCCAGAATGTGCATGTGCAGATCAAGATGTTCCTGACCCTTGGCAGGAAGGTCTCTGTGTACAGGGCAACCCAGCTGCTGCAGTGATGGTGGTGGGGGCTTGTCCCTAAGCCTGGGAACAGAGAGATCCATGGACAGGTTGCCACGGTAACCAGCACCCTCATCCCCTGGGGTCCCCAACCCCAAGCCAGAGGCCTGCAGGGAAAACATCACTCTTAGGGATTCACTGTTAACTTGTGTGTCAGCCCCAAAGGGACTCCAGCTCCTAGGGTCCATCCCCTCCTGCCCCACAGAGGAGCAGGTGCAGAGATCTGGCCTGTGGGGGAACAGGGCACTGGAGTCAGGACCCTGATTCCTACGTAACCCCTGAAAGGGAGTCCACAAAAATGCTAGCGCTGAGCAGAGGGTGCTGGGGTGTGTCTTCCAGGACACTACCAGGAAGGCTGGTCTAGGAGGGACCCTGTGACCCCAGGCAGGTCACAGACCACGCTGGGCCATAAGCTCACCATGGTATCGTCAGATATCACCATGGTATCTTATAGCTGTAAAGGAAATCCCTCCACAGAAATGTTTCTTTTGGGGTGGTGAGGATGGTTTTTGAGGAGTGTGCCTCCTTTCTACCTCAGCTCCAAAGGGTCCTTTCTTGAGAAAGCTCACCCACAGGGTAGCCAGGAGGCCAGCAAGTAGTGGGAATTCCTGCGATGCTTAGCCGGACCTGGAGCTGGCCCCTGGCAGACAAGCACACAGGGAGGGCAGGGTAGCCACAGGGGACAGGGACCTTGGTTTCCCACAGAGCTGACAGACAAAGAAGGAGTTAAGGGAATGGGCACCAAGGAGGGAGAAGCCAGTGCTCCCACTATTGGCCTCTCCACTGACACACAGGTTGGCACTCAGAGTTCCATGTGTGTGCGTGGGCTCATGTGTGCACCATGGGGCCTGAGCCAGTGCTCCGGTCACCCATTCCTGGCCTCATACATCAGGGAGGGCTGCCCCTTGCCACCTCATGCCAGGGCACACAGCTGGAGGAAGACAAGGGGCAGCATCAACGGCAGCCACAGCCTGGTGCTGCGCCTCTCAGAAGTTGGCACGTAGTTTCTTATTGCTCTTCTCAGCTTGAGGAACACACTCCTCATTTGCAAAAAGGTCACAGACTGAGAGGCGGCGGCGGTGGTGGGGGGTGCCAAGATAGCCCATCTGCCAATCACAAAGCAGGGAACACAGATGGGACCCAGAATGGCCACAGGGATGCCCTGTTCACATCCCAGTCCTAGCCACAGGCCCTCAAAGGCCTGCCCACAATAGGCTGTGTGGTCTTCTGAGAGCCAGCCAGTGTCTGCAGAGCAGGAGTTGCCAGACTGCAGTTACCTGGCCTCCCCTTGGCCACAGTTGCTGGACTACTGCCCATCCTTGGCCAGCTACCTCCAGGGGCCACAGATGAGCATGCTTAGAAAAATAACTCTGAGTAGTCCCCCATGGGATCCAGGTTTCCTGAGAGCATGAAGAGAGCCAGGGCGATGGCTGTGAGGAAAGATCTGGCAGGAACACTCCTGCCCTGCAAGCCAGGGTCATGGCTGTAGGCGCTCCAGGTACTGGGGCAGCGGGTTCTCCTTCACATACTTCTGGATGTACCAGCATGTGAGATGGGCCTTCAGGTCCTCCTCCACCACAAAGTCCAGAGCAGCCTGAGAGCCAGAGAGAGAGTGGTCAGTGCCCACACCCGGGGCTCACAGTAGCCTGGCCCCTACACCTCCCAGGCTGTTCCCTCTGAGGACGGGAGCTGGCTGCCCAGGAACACCCATTTTATCCACTCTACAATGGAGGTAAGGGGTGCTGTCACCACCTCCATATTTCAGTTGGGGAAACTAAGGCAGAAAGTGTTGATAAATTGCCTGAAGCACATGTCACGGGAGAGAATGAAACAGGATTGGATCCTGAGCTCCTGCCCAAAACTGTGCAGGAAACAGCCTCTGCACACAGCCAAATGGCAGAGTGGGCAGGGTTGAACCTGGAGAATCCCACCCCGTTGCAGCTTGTCTGTCCCACAGGCTTGTCTCCACAGCCTGCCCTTTCCAATCTCAGGGCCTATGCATTCCCTGGGGGCCTGCCTAAACTCCTGTCTTCACTTATTCTTCACATGACAGCTCACGCGAGGCCTCCTTTTGGAACCTGCCCCTGGAAGCTGAGTCAGGTTACATCAGGGCTCTCACATCCCTCAGGGCTTCCTGCACCCAGGAAAGGTCACACTTAGTTATTACAGGGCTCCCAGAGACAACAGTGGGGGAAGCACTGAAGGGCGGCTGGTGTATAGTCTTGGTCTGTGGCTGCTGTCATCGTCTCCAGTGAGCTCAGCAGACGGAGAGCAAGGCTGTGAATGATGCACCTCCCTGCCCACCAGTGCCTTGCACACAGCTGGTGTTTAAGAAATGTTTGCTGAGACAAAGAGAAGAGCAGTCTGGGTGGGGTTGGCAGTTCTGATGAAAAGGAGCAGCATTTACTGAGCACCTACGAGGTGCCTGGCACTTACACGGTTGGTCCATTTGACCTTCCAACACCTCGAGATGGCCTTGGTGTGCCTCACCATCCAGTCCATATCCAATTCTGGAGTTTATAACCTAAGAGTCTCTTGTGACAAGAGTTCAGTCTAATCTCCCATTTTGCAAAGAAACTGAGAGCCCAAGAAAGTGCCAAAGTAACTGCCACATGGTGTGAGCCCTTGTGCCCTGACAGGGCAGCACTCTCCAGGGTGAGGGTGGGGCCCAACTCCCTTTTACCCAGGTCCACAAATCTCAGTTTCCTCATTGGTCACATGGAGGGTGGGGGAGGAAGAAGAGGCCTGGAGGGGCTGGGCAGGAAGAGCAGCCTGAGGGAGAGTCTGGGCCCCAGGAGCAGCCCTCAGGCAACCTTAAGGCCACTCTCAGCTCCAGTTTCCTAACTGCGTCCAAACCTGCTCTCCAAGCAGCCTAGAGTTTGAGGTGCTTTGAGGATGAAGCTGGTGAGGGCAAGGAATGGGGCAGTAGCCGAATGACGAACATCCATCATCCACTTGTTCCAATAAAGTTTACTGAGCACCTATAACATGCTGGGATCCCAGATAACAAACTCCAGACACACAGCAGGTGTCAGCGGCCCTGGAGGCTTAGCCATGCAGAACCTGGGGCCTAGGCCCAGAACCACAACCACCAGCCCAAGAGCCAGGAGTAGGCAAAACACGCTGCCTGGCCATCACCAGCCCCTGGCTGCAACCTGGTGGCAAGGTGGGCACCGGTCTGCACTCTGGCCAAGAAACAGGCCAAGGGTGGCCCCCAGGGCCATGGTGTATCAGTGGTAGGGCGCATGGCTCTACCTCACCTCCCTACCTTGGCAAGGTGCTTGGCAATGCCACGCCCACGGTAAGCGTCAGGGACCTCGGTGTGCTGCAGATCCACGATCCGCTTGCCCACGTACTCGTAGAGCAGGACAGCCCGGTCGTGGCACCCTGCAGAAGGAGGTGGTGGACACGTGAGGCCATGGAGACTCCAGAGGCCTGACTCAGGCACGAAGCTCGGGTGGAAGGACAGGCATTTGGAGCCAAGCTGCTGAAGCTGGATCCTAAATAATCTCTCAATGCCTCGGTTTCCTCATCCATAAAATAGGGATATAATTAAACATTCCTCATAAGATTGTCTGGAGAATTAAATGAGATCATCTTCATAAAATGCTCGGAAGAGAGCCCAGAACACTCCAGGCTACCATGAGACTGCTGTTATTCTCAGCCTCAGCATCCCGTGACCCTCAGGGCCCCTACAGCCCAGCTCCCTGTCCCCACCCGAGCTCCCTCTGGAGGGCATGGAGCCCCAGGCCTGGAGCTGAGCAGGACTGGGCAAGCCCTCGGCTAGCCCAGAATCTGAAGGGACAAGTCAGCAGGCCCAGAGATGCTCCAGGACTATTTGCCGGACCCTGGAAGGTGGGGAGATATGGCACCAGTGTCCAGGGAAAGTGACACTGAGCAAGTAAACAGGAACAAACTGGCCTTTGTGCCCTCTTAGGCCCACTCAGACTGGAGGGCACCAGTCCAACCCAAAGTCCTGCTGGGGTTCCTCCAACCAAAGTCTTTAGTTTCCCATCTGTCTCTGTCCATCCATCTGTCCAACCACATCCACCTACCCACCCATTCACCTCCCCCATCTCCCTGCCCATCTACCCTCCAAGCCATCCCATCTACCCACTTGTCCACAATCTGCCCGCCAGTCTTATTTAACAAATGTTTATTGAGCCCCAGACACTGTTTCAGGTCCTGGGAAATACAGCAATGAATGAGCCTGACAAAAGCCCTGCTCCCGCAGAAATCATTAGAAGAGGGGACTGAACCAAGAAGTGGGCAGGGAGTAGAGAAGGGAAGCTGCTGGGCAGATATGAGACAGGAAAGGAGGGAGTGGGGTACGTGGTGTCAGGGAGCAGTGTTCCAGCAGAGAGAACAGCCAGGACAAAGGCTCTAAGGCAGCAGTGGGCAAGAGAGAGGGTGGAAAAGAGGGCAGGGAGCCAGAGCAGGGTCCTTGGCAGAGGAGGGACAGGATGTGATCACAATGCCACAAGATTCCTCTGGCTGCTACACAGACAGTGAGGTGGCTGCTGTACTAGGCCAGGTAAGCATGTCGGGTGCCGACAGAGGGAGGGATCAGGTGTGGAAGGAGGGGTCAGACTCTGGTGGGGCTTTGATAGTGTAGCTGGCAGAGTGTGCTGACAGCTCAAATGTGGTGGTGGGGGGGGGTGGCAAGCACAGCTCCAGGGTGTGTCCCTTCAGGGAGCTGTGAGCATATGAAGGAAGCAAGCTGGACTAGGGGACAGTCAGGGCCATTTAGCCAGAGGCAGTTAGGGAAGGACAGGGAGAGGGCACAGTTGGTACAAAGGCCCTGAGGTTAGAATACACAAGTTACTGTCCCTAAAAGAAAACATGACAATTCCAACTGTGTTTCCTGGATATTCAAAAGCAAATTCTATTTCTTGTTTTTCACTTTGAAGCACCATCAAGAATTTAATAAATGCTGCCTGAACATGGGGCTTGTGGTGGGAGAGTGAAAGGCTGAGCGATGCAAACATCCAGCCCAGGGTCTCACAGCAAATTTGGCACCAGAACAGTGTCCCACACCAGGTAGGAGGCTTTCTCATTTTCCTCGAAGCTCCAGGAGTGAGGATAGAATCCAGCTCCCCATTTGCAGATGGGGAGACTAAGACCCAGAGATCCACATTCCACAGCAGGTCAGAGGTAAAGCTGAAACCCAGGGCTGCAGACCCTGAGCCCAGTTGTGTTTTTCTGATCCACCTCAACACATGCTGTCTCCTGCCTCCAGGCCTTTGCTTAGATGGTCTCTTCTGCCTGGATTACCCTCTGCCCTAATCAGGACCTGCTGAAGGTGGCCCATTGCCCCACCTCCTATGCAGGCTCCAGGGGCCCCAGCACCTCTTCCTCATTGCCAGGCTGCTGCTCTGGTCCCCAGTGCTACTGCCCTGGCTGTGTAGCACGGGACTCAGTTCTCGGCTCCCACATCTACTGGGGTTAACCCAACTCACCCAGAACAGGATAGCAGAGACCCAGAGGCTACTTTGGGACTGATGCAGTCAGCAGTCACTGAAGGAGGTGCCTACCTGCCCTGGCCACTTTGTTACCCCAAACTCATCAAGGGCCTATTACATATCAGGTAGGGTTTCAGGTGCTGGGTGCACAGCAATAAAGAAAACTGACCAAACACTCCCTCCTTGAAGGGAGACACACAATAAGCAATAGCATTTTAAACAATATAAGATGGTTCGAAGATGGTAGACTAGAGAACACAGCAGAGAAAGGGTGGGGGGCAGGGCTGCCATTTTAAAAAGGGTGCACAGGGCAGGCCTCTCTTGACTGAAGACCTGAAGGGAATGAGGAATCCAAGAGGAGATGTGGGGGATGAACAGTCCAGGTGGTGAGTACAGCATGTGCAAAGGCCCTGGGGTAGAATGTTCAAGACACAGTGAGGTGGTCAGGAGGGCTGGGCTAGAATGAGTGCAGACACTGGTGGTAAGCCACATTGGAGGTTCTGGGGCCAAATCATGTGGGGTCTTGCAGGCCACTAAAGAGACCTCAGCTTTGAGCCATTCCATCCCTAAAGAGAGGGAGGTGGCAGGGTTGCAAGTCCTTGAAAGCCTGCTAGTTTTCCTCTGTTCATTTGGAAAGCAACAATTCTGAAAGCGGCCACTTGGGCCATGGATAGACTAGATCCCAAAATGGCCTAGGCTTGTCCCCACCCTGACCCTTGTCCCTCAGCTCCTGATAGCCACATGGGTTGCCACTGCATTCCCAGTGCCCAGCCCAGGGAAGACTCTCAAAGAGATATTTGTCCTACAAACAACTGTTGTTCTCTTTCTGCCACACACACTATGGGTTTGAGGCTGACTTGTGGGCTACCAACACACCTAGCACTCTGGCCTTCTCAAGACCTGACCCCATGCTTTCACTTTCGAGGAACAAACAGATGGCAACGGCTGCAGCTCACACTTGGGAGGCCCTGGCATGGAGCAGGCCTGTCTTCAGTTCTCTCTAAATACTAATCCTCATGAAAATCTTACAAAATGGATAGGATTCTTAGAGCCCTGTTTACACATGGGAAAACTGAGGCTCTGTGAGGCAGTCACACACAGCTAGGTGTATGGAGCTGGCTGGAGACAGGCTGAGCTCACAAGGTGGTTCTTCCAGCTGAACAAAGAACAGAAGGGCATAGGAACTGCCAAGGTGGACCTGGCTCCATGTGCAGGAAAGGACGCGGGCTAGGTTGGAGGGAAAGAGTACGTTAATGATGCCCCCCCTTCCACACGCCCCCATGGGCCGGCCCACCCCATACTGGTTGGGGAGAAACCAGATCCTTAGTGGGCAGTCCAGAGTACCTGGCCTGTGACCTGGCACCTTGGCCTCAGAGGGCCTTTAAAGGCCACCCAGTCCCAACTACCCACATGAGACACAGCCCAGATGCCCCATCCCTCCCCTAAACCTGCCTGGGGAGCCCTAGAAAATGGCCAACTCCTGTGGCTCAGACCAAACCTTGGGGTCCTCCTTGCCTTGTCTTTCTCTCAGACTCTGAGCTGATCCTGAGACAGGTCCATGGGCACAGCTTTCAAAATATGCTTAGAATCTGGCCACTGGTCACATGTTTGTGCCTGTCCTCTGCTCAGGGCCCTGGTCACCATACTGGTCTCCTTGCTACTCCACAGACACCTGGCTCCCAACTCCCAACCCGTCAGGCTGTTCCCTCTGCCCGGCATCCCTCCCACAGGAGCCTCCCAGTGCTGGTTCCTCTTCATTATTCAAGGTGAGCCCAAATATCACCTCCCCAGAGACCTCTCCTGACCATCAACAGAAGGTAAGTGCAGTGCTATGTCGTCACCCTTTTACCCTGGGCACCACACCCATCTGGCATGAGCATCTGGGCAGCTGAGCCCTAGATACCACTATCTCTGCTCCCAGTGCTGTGGGCAGAGCCCAGGGTATGGCCTGGATGGGCTCAGGACTTTCTCAGGGGTGAGTTGTGCAGGCTACACCAAGACTCTTGACTAGTACAGGGGCTCAGTACTTGCCACTCTTGGAGGCCACAGGAATAAGCCCAAGGCAGGGCAGGGCCCTGGGTTCCAGTCCCAGCTCTGCCAGGTGACTTCAGACTGGTCCCAACACCTCATGCCCAGGATTTCACCTGTCCTATGATACCTGCTACCTCCTTCCTGAATCTGATAATTACAGTGAGACCACAGACTAAAGCAGTTTTGAGAAAAGTTAAAGCTACTTGAGTAATGAGATCCTACTCAAGGGTCTCTTCCCCAGTACCCTCCCCTGGCCCCAACCCCAAGACCAAAGGCCCCAGGAAGTTATCAGGGGTGGTGGTCACTTAGAAATCGTCTTCCCCAGCAGGTAGGAAGGAGGAGCAGGGGCTCTAGGTGGGGATGTGGGTCCTATGCAGAGGGCAATGACCGCCATCATCTCTGCTCTGCCAGCACCGACTCTGAGTGGTGGGCCATAGAGTCAGAATGCCCACTGTACTGATGAGGAGAGTGGGGCCGGGAACCCTGTTCCCTCTGGGAGCTGCAGAACCTGACCAGGGACAAGTGGGTACAGAAGCAGGGAATAGGCCCCAGAAGCACCTGACTGCATTTTGGGCATTTCCACAGGCAGAGCCTAGTTTGGGATGGGGCCACAAACTTGTGCCTCAGAAGTAGGTTGGGCAGAGGGGGTTGAAGCCTGGGAAAGCTAAAGGGGACCAGCTAACATTGCCAGGAAGCATGTTGAGGGCAGACCACAGGAGTTACCCAGGAAAGTCCACCCACAGACCCAGCTCATCCCCTTGCCACACCAGGCATCCCTCCTGCATACTCGGCTCAAGGACACAGCTCTAGGTGGCTATCATGGGAGCAGCCACACACGCTTCTGCAAGGGCCTCATGTTGAAGGATCTGAAGGCTACCAGCCCTGTGGCTGCAC